CCACGTCTTCCACCACCCCCCACCACCACCACCCATCAACACCACCCACCACCACCACCCACCACCACCACCCACCACAACCACCCATCACTCACCCACCACCACCACCCACAACCACCACCCACCACAACCACCCATCAACACCACCCACCACCATCACCACCACCCACCACAACCACCCATCAACACCCCCCACCACCACCCACCCACGACCACCACCACCCACCCAACACTCCATCACCACCACCCCCACCACCACCACCCACCAACACCAACCCCCCACTACCACACCCCCCCCACCACCACCAACACTACCATCACCACCACCACCACACCACCCACCACAACCACCCATCAACACCCCCCACCACCACCACCCACAACGACCCACCACCACCCATCAACACTACCATCACCTTACCACCTCTGTATCAATGGTTAGTTAGAATACAAAATAAAGGTAAAAAATAAACGCTACAACATCACTTACAACAATACAACATCACTTTATACCAATACAACATCACTTACAACATCACTTTACAAACACTTACATCACTTTACAACAATGCATCACTTTAAACATCACTTTTAACCAACAATACAACATCACTTTACAACATCACTTTACAACAATACAAATATCACTCTTTACAAATAATACATCACTTACAAATAATGCATCACTTACAACATCACTTTACAACAATACAACATCACTTTACAACATCACTTTACAACAATACAACTCACTTTTACAACACTACATCACTTTACAACAATGCATCACTTTACAACATCACTTTACAACAATACATCACTTTACAACACTACATCACTTTACAACATCATGCATCACTTTACAACATCACTTACAACAATACAACATCACTTTACAACATCCTAAACCACAATGTGTGTTATTATCATGCAACCTCCCAGAGCTTTTTACCAAGAATACAAATATATAAAACAATATAAAACTCTGTCCTTAAACAGAAGTGAAAAATAAACCCCAGTACTGTATATTTTATTTTTTTACATCAGATACAAATTGTTTTATTATTTCAGGAAGTAAAGAAAGTTCCAGGTACAGAGATTTTAAACCATCAACCTCCTCCTCCTCCTCCCTCTTCATACCACCACCATCCTCCTCCCGCTTCATGTCACCACACACCATCCTCCTGCTTCACACCACCATCAACCCCCCCCCGCTCACACCGCCACTTCCTCCTGCTTCACACCACCACATCCCTTCTCGCTTCACACCACCATCTTCCTTCCGCTTCATGTCACCACACGACCATCCTCCCGCTTCACACTACCATCATCCTCCCGCCTCCACCACCATCCTCCCTCTTCACACTACCATCATCCTCCCGCTTCACACCACCATCACCCTCCAGCTTCACACCACCATCCTCCTCCTCCTGCTTCACACCAACATCCTCCTCCCGCCACACCACCATCCTCCCTCTTCACACTCACTTCATCATCCCTGCCTCCACCACCATCCTCCTCCTGCTTCACACCAACATCCTCCTCCCGCTTCACACCACCATCCTCCCTCACTAGCATCATCCTCCCTCTTCACACCCACCATCCTCCCGCTTCACACCACCATCCTCCTCCCGCTTCACCAACATCCTCCTCCCTTCACACACCACCATCCTCTTCACACCACCATCATCCTCCCGCTTCACACCACCATCCTCCTGCTTCACACCACCATCACCCTCCCGCTTCACACCACCATCACCTCCAGCTCACACCACTCAGCCCGAAAAGTCAAATGAAAACATTCCAGGTGGTATTTCAGCAATTTACGCGCACTTCAAAATTTCTCACCTACAGCATCACCTGACACAAATATTTTCACCACAGCATCACCTGACACAATATTTCACTCACAGCACTTAACACAAATATTTTCACCCACAGCATCACCTGACACAAATATTTCTCACCCACAGCACTTAACATAAATATTTCTCACCCACAGCATCACTGAACAAATATTTCACTCCACAGCACCTGACACAAATATTTCTCACTCACAGCACCTAACACAAATATTTCTCACCACAGCATCACTGAACACAAATATTTCACCACAGCATCACCTGACACAAAATTTATCACTCACAGCATCACCTGACACAAATATTTCACCACAGCATCACCTGACACAAATATTTCACTCACAGCATCACCTGACACAAATATTTCTCACTCACAGCATCACCTGACACAAAATTTCACCCACAGCATCACCTGACACAAATATTTCTCACCCACAGCATCACCTGACACAAATATTTCTACTCACAGCATCACCTGACACAAATATTTCACTCACAGCTACCTGACACAAATATTTCTCACCCACAGCATAACTGAACACAAATATTTCACTCACAGCATCACCCGACACAAATATTTCTCTCACTCACAGCATCACCTGACACAAATTTTCTCTCACCACAGCATCACTGAACAAATATTTCTCACCCACAGCATCACCCGACACAAATATTTCTCACTCACAGCATCACCGAACACATATTTCTCACCCACAGCATCACCCGACACAAATATTTCACCCACAGCATCACTGAACACATATATTTCACCCACAGCATCACCTGACACAAATATTTCACTCACAGCATCACCTGACACAAATATTTCACCCACAGCATCACCCGACACAAATATTTCTCACTCACAGCATCACTTAACACAAATATTTCTCACTCACAGCATCACCTGATGTATTAAAACACCTCACTGAAACCCCACACCCTCCCATACCTCCCATCCCCTCATACCCCTAAATACCTCCCTCATACCCTATACCTCCCCTCACTCCCCCTCATACCCCCTTAATACCTCCCCTCTACCTCCACACCTCCCCATACCCCTCTTAATACCTCCCCACACCCCTTAATACCTCATACCCCCACACCTCCCCTCATACCCCCAATACCTCCCTCATACCCCTTATTCCTCCCTCATACCCCATCTCCCCATACCCTCACCTCCCTTATACCCCTTTATCACCTCCCCATACCTCTAAATACTTCTCATAGCCCCTATACCTCCCTCATACCCTAATACCTCCTCATACCCCTCTTTATACCTCCTCATCCCCCTTTACCTCCTCATCTTCTTAATACCTCCTCATACCCCTTAATACCTCCCCATACCCCCTTAATACCTCCTCATACCCCCACACCTCCCCATACCTCTATCCTCTCTACCCCCCTTCACCCTCCCTCATACCCCCATACCTCCCCCATACCCCCTACACCTCCGTCACAATACCTCCCTCATACCCCTTACACCTCCTCATCCCCCATACCTCCTCATTAAATACCTCCTTATACCCCTTACCTCTATACCCCTTAACTCCCTCATACCCCAACACCTCCTCATACCCCAAACCTCCTCATACCCCCACACTCCCTCACACCCCTCACCCTCCCCTCATACTCTTAACACCTCCCCCACAATTCTTAATACCTCCCTTATACCTTAATATCTTCCTCATACCCCCAATACTCCCCACACACCCCACCTCCCCCCACACCCCCACACCCCCACAACCCCACACCTCACACCCCTACCCCCCACACTCCACACCCCCATCCTCCTTCATACCCACCCCCTTATACCTCCTAAACGTCCTCATACCTCCGCACCCCCTAGATACTTCCTCATATTTCATAACACTCTCATACCTCTATCCTCTCATACC